TAATCAAATACAGTAAGATTTTAGAGCAAAACATCTACTAAGTGGGATAAATACAGATCATAATAGCTTTGTGTCAATTTAGGTCAGGCTTTGCCCACTCTCCACCCTCTCCAATCAGTTTAATAAAACCCTTTCGCTTTGTAAGAGGTTTTTGGATTTTAGAATCCAAACAGCAAAGGAATTATCACCCTATACTCTATTCTTCCATTAAGATGAAGATTCTTCCCTGTGATGAAGTTTGACTGATTTTCTCTCTTCAATATTCCCTCTTCTATTTTTCTATTTTTAAAGTTATGGTCTTAGTTTAGGTTCGATCTTCATTCATCTGAGTTACTGACAAAGCTCCTTACTTCCAATCTATTGTCTGCAATTCTCAAGTGTGGTTCTTCTCCTAAAATGCAAATCTGATTTCACCTACATTTTCAATGGCACTCTATTGCTTTTAGAATGCTGCTCAAAATTCTTGCAAGATATACAAAACTACCTCTACGTGAGCTGGCTCTATTTACCTCTTTTGGCTCATCTTTGACCATTTTGGCTATACTACTTGCAGTGACGTCCTCTCTCAGATCTGAGCTCTCATACATGCTGCTCCCTCTGCCTAGTTCCTTCTTCTACTTTAGGTCTTGATCAAATGTTACTTCCTAAGAAAGGACATTTCTGACCATAGTAACCAGAGTAACTTCTCAGGAGGTAACATTTAATCAAGACCAAAATAGGAGAAGGAAATTCATGTAGTGGTGAATAGGATTAGGGAATAGTATGTGAAGGTCCTGAGATGGATGAGAAAGAGTGGTGTTCTTTGATCTGGGAGATGACCATTGAAGCATAGCAATGTGAATGGTGACAAAGGGTCATGAAAGGAGAGAGGGATTAGATCTTGCATGGCCTTAGATTTTATGTTGATGTAGTAAGTTCTGGAAGGGTTTTAAGCTGGAGAGTGACATAATTTGATTTATATTTTAAAATCACTCTTGATTATATGGAAAATGGGTTGGAAGGGAATAAGAGGGCAAGCAGAGAGCCTGGTTAGGAGTCCTTAAAGTCATCCAGGTGAAAGATAAATAGAGTGATTATGGTAGAGATGGAGAAATATGGACAGATTCAATACATATTTTGGAGGTTAATGCAGTGTTTCTGGAAGCATTTCATATATGATGGTATACATCATTTGGGGGCATATAAACATTTTAATCGAAAGAATAGAACTAGGACATCAAATCAGTGATTTACTGAATATTATATCTTGGGATGAGACAAGTTGGGATGAGACAAGTATTTTAAACTAGTAAATGATTAAGTAAATAATAGATTATGTGGTATCATATGGCAAAAATCACAAAACTAGTTTGGGACACATTGGTAATGGACATGATGATGGGGTCAGGGAATAAGAATAAAAAAACATGTTTTCCAGTGTTCTTGTCTGAATAAATGACTATACAGCAATGAGATAAAGAAGACTTGGGTCAGGGGTGGGGGAGATAAAGTTCCACTATGGATAATTTGTTTGAGACGTCAACGACATGTCCAACTGGACACTGCTACTTAGCCAGCAAAATACCACATAACTCCGAGGGGGGTCTGGGAAGATAATAGTTGCTATAGTACTTAAATCCATGGAATGGATAAGATTAATTAGGAAGAAATTAAAGAGAGAAAAAAGGACTAGGACCAAGCCCTGAGAAATCTCTAAATTCAGAAGTCACATGGAAGAAAAGTTAGAAAAGGAGACTGACAAAGATAGGCTTGAGAGAGAAAAACCAGGAAAATGTGGAGTCGTGAAGCCAAAAGAGCAGAGTGTTCAAAGGAGGAATGGTCAAATGTGTCAAATTTGCTGAGTGCTTGTTCAAGAGTATGAAAGGGTTGAAATATGTAACATCTTTGATAACACTGTCAGAGGTGTTAATGAAGGAGTGGAAGCCAGACTCAGGCAGGTTAAAGAGTAAACGGAATGTGAAGTAATAACCAATAATGAAGTTGTACCTATAAGGCAGTCCCACTCTATGGATTATTACAAAAAAAATTACGAGACTACAATTGTTCTTTTCTGTCTGGCTGTCCTGAGTTTTACTTTAAAATTTCTCTTTTCTCCTTCTTTCTTGATGGTGTTTTGAACCTGTTAGTTATAACCAGTGATTCTTACACATCACAGATCACAGTGAAATCAAAGATCACATTGAAGAAGATATTTGTCAACGAAGCTATTTAAGAGACCATTGCAGGAACTGCTAATCTGTATTGCAGAAATAGGCAAATGACACTTTTAACCAAAGGAGTTAGTCTTTTCTCTTTACTTACTCAATTTTCTTTTTGTATATTGTTCAAATTTTCATGATCAAAGATCCTGGGAATTATTTATGTAGGCAGAGCAGGATGATGTGGAAGATTAAAAAAAATGTGGTATCTGGATAGATGTTAGTCTTTAAATATTACTAGCTGGCAAGCGAGTGTAATGGAGCCAGTTCATCTTGCCATTTGGCTAATATAAAATGGAAAGCTAAGGTACTTGCCAATAAGAATTTCAGAATTGAATGGATTCAGTTAGGTTTAGATCAGCAACACTTGATCACCAAGCAACTCCACTTTCTAAATACAGATTCACTGTCAGTGGTAGGCTGAGAGTTTCAGAATTACCTGAGCAACTTTAAAAAACAGATCCCTAGGCCTCACCCATTGAGATTTTGATCCAGCAGATGTGGGGTGAGATCCAGGAGCCTGCATTTCTAAAATGCTCCTCAGGATTTCTGATATACACCTAGACTGCAGATATCGGTACTGAAGAGTTCCAACTTATAGGTGATGATCTGTTGCTAAAGTAACCAGGTAGAGGTATAGAATCATGAAATTTTAGCATGCAGAGGACTTTAGAGAACACAAACTTGAAACACCCTATTTTGTTCCATCAGGAAAATTAATAGTTCTGATTAGCTCACAGCCACACCAATCATGGCCGGATCAAATTTGCCTTCTGGCATTTCTTACATGTGCTACCTCCTCTTGTTCATTATAACTTATACAGGTAATAGGTCTTTATTTAAGCAGACATATTTTAATTAACCTAAAAGCACTAACTACTTTTTCTACCATATTGTATCCTGTAAGAGGAACTCAGGTGATGCCTGAAGAAAGAAGGATATATGCATTGTCTAGAGGTCTCTTCATAAAGCTTCCTCAGGTCTTAGTGATCATAAAAGATAAAGATCACAGCTTTTCGATCATATCATTTCTCATAGAGGGAGTGGTATGATATTGGATTGGTATGGATTGATAAATGACACATGAAAGCAGGACCACTTTATCAAATAGAAGAATTACTAAAAGAGCTAATTTTCTTGGAATCATTGAGTCAAGTTAAAGTTTCTAGGTAGCAGGAATCTATATAAGAGAATTCAAAAGTTGCTTCAGGGACAATTGGAGGGAAAAAATAGTCAACCTCTAGTTTAGGGTGTGACTTAATCTCACAGCTGTCACCCTGATAGTAGTTCCTTTCTACTATTTATAAACTAAGAGTTAAAAATACAAGATGACAAAATGTTCTAAACACAATGCAAAATAAATTGATCTAAAGGCCCAAAGTTTAGTTCAATAAGTAAAATGTAAAATTTTATCTTTCTAAAGTAGGATAAGGCTGTGCAAAGATAAAAATGAAATAAAAGCAAGGCATAAAGAATTTCTAAATAAATAAAGAATCAAAGTGCTAAACTAAGACAAGATGCTATAAAAGGGAAAATAATTTGAAAGACTAAAACATGAAAAGTCTAGGGAGACTAGGGACTAACAGATAAAGTTAAAAACAAAAGAAACACAGTGGTTCAGATTCCAAATAGATCTAAGAGAAATGCAAAAATGGAATAAAAAGGAGAAAAACTGGGTAAAAATAAGATTAAAAAGATAGTTTCTAAAAAGAGAAGCAGCTGCCCAAGTGTCCATCAATAGTAGAAAGGACAAACAAAATCTGATTGATACGCACAATGGAATATTATTCATTTATAAAAAGAAAGAAAGTTCTGATATATGCTACAACATGGAGGAACCTTGAAAACATCATGCTCAGTGAGGCTAAACCACTGAATTGTATTCTTAAAAATAGTTCAAATGGCAAATTTTATGTTATATATATTTTACCATAATAACCGAAAGCCAAAACAGACTAAAAGAAAAACCAGTATGCAATAAAACAGTTAAAACCAGAAATTAAAATCATAAAATATGCTAAAATATTGCAAGAATAGCATCCTCAAATGTAATTTAAGGAACCTAAGAAGTAAAGATAAGTGAGGTGTGTCACAGTGGAAGCAGAATAGATAATTTACTCTCAAAGAAGGATGACCATATAATTTACCATTTTAACCAGGACACTTTTGAGAGGAAAGGGGAAATTATTTATAATTACACAGGGATAACAGGTGGACTGGGACTTTCCCAGGATATGCGGTCACTCTACACATAAGGGCAATCAGGCCCTAAAGGTTGAGTTCACACACACAGCTTGAGGTCTGGCAGAAGTGTGACAGTCTGAGGGTATCTTTATGAAAGATCGAAGTGATCAGAAATGCAGAACTGTCTTTAATTAATTTTTTTTTTTTTTACAGAAAAATAACACACACTTACATAGCCTTTACTGAAGTTTACTAATTTGGGATTCAAAAAACAATGAGCATATTATTAGATTTGATTAAGAGCTATAATTTGGCATTCTTGGAATTTTAGAAAGCTGAATTATGCTTTAAAATGCACTGGTAGGTACACTAAGGAAGTCTTGAGGTGAATCATTTTTTATAAATCTTTATTTTTATACATTACATTAGAGCTCTATAAATATATGTATATATTCTTTTATACTTATATTTGACTATAGACAATTGAGCCAGAAAATTTTAAAAATCAAATTAGGATTATTAAGAAAATGAGTAGTACTGATATGCTATCCATTCTTTATTTTTAAACTAAAATTAATCTTAATGACCTACAAATAGGTTAAGTTAAACAGTCCATACCTTATGTGAGAAGCTCCGACTTGGGGTGTTTCTTGCTAACTCTGATATCTTGGGTTTAGTCTGCAGACACTTGTTTAGGTGATACTTTTTCAATTTTATTCTATTGTAATAATGATCAGCGAAGTTACAGTGATTCAAATGCTGTTTCTGCATGCATTTCCCAAGGTGAGGAATACTATACTTCAAAGCTTGGAGAAATAATTTGGTCTTCTGCTGCATGATATCAAAGTCCCTGGTTTATTCTCTTTTTGGGGCTGCCAGTACATGAATGATTTCTTAGGTATGATTATACAGTAGAGGGTTCTCAGAGCATCTAAGATCAGCAATTCTCATCCCTCCCCTTCAGGGCCATGCACACCTTAGGTTATGAATAACTTCATAACGCTGATAAGTTAGGTTAAATAAATTTAAAAATTTATATGATTTAAAGTTTCATTCAAATCAAACTTCTTGCCAGATGTGACTTAAATGTCTCATTTGTAAAGTCAATCCTATCAGACTCAAATCATGCAGCACTGATTCTGGTGCACACAAGGGCAAACTAAAACAAAAAACAGAAAACAAGAAACAAAATAAAAATTTGTAAATAAGTACATTGACTTAATTGGGCATTTCAGGAACTCTGAGGGTTTTAAAAGGCAAAATGTCTTTGATATTACATAGTTCTGGACATATCTTTGGTATGTATGTGGAAGATAAACTAGTAGGCCTAATTACTTAATAAAGGAATTAATAAGTAATGAGAGAGAGGAGAGATTAAAATTTGTTGAGTGTTGACTATGTGCCAGATGCTTTTATCTACTTTGTCTAATTTGAACTTCATATGGACTTGACAAAGTAGTTATTATGATGCTCATTTTACAGGTGAGCAAATTGTGGCTCTGGAAGGTTTAAGGAATAGCCCCAGGTCACCTGGACAGTAAGTAGTATAGCAAAAAGTCCAGTCTGGTTTGGGCAAATATGGGATGTAACAAGCTGTTGGACTTTAATGTTAAAAAGGTATTTAGCTCTTCAATTAAAAAAAACAAAACAAAACACACTGCAAGATGTGCAAATAAAATGTGAAGCCAACCTCTGGTTTCTGTTGGGAGGCAGGTTTTATTAACCTTGATAGCCATTAAGCAGTTAAGGGTCAGACCTGGGTTCAGGTGTTGGGTGCTGAACTAAACTACCTGTGTCTCTGGGCCTCAGTTTCTTCAACTGCAGAAATGAAATAATGACAACATTTACCTTCCGGGGTAGTTGTAAGAATAAAATGAGACTATGTTAAGACCTTAATATAGTGCCTGGCACATAGTGACCACTCCAATGGTAGCTACTATTATTAAGACAAGAATAACCCAACTATGTTGCACACTGTTGAATGTCATCATGGAAGTGTTCCACAAAATGCTCCTTAGTATCAAAGGCAGGATACTGCGTCAAATTTACCACCGATCTGATCCGCTACGACGCCCCCGCCCCCTTTAAGCGCCCGGTATGTCGCAGCAAAATAATGGGCGAGTGGGGCTAATGGAGCAGAAGCCAACACTAGCAAGCAAGAAAAAAGGGGCCCCGAATAACAAGGGCCTTCAAAGGCCATAAATCACTATATCTGTCGTCACAGTCTCAATCCATCCATCTTTCATTCACAAGGAGAAGACAGAATGCAAGGCTAGGGATGGGGGTGGGGTAGACACATGGGTGTTCCCAGGAAAACCTGTTCATTTTCCCAGTGCAGCTCTCCACCTCAGATCTAAGTGCACGAGGGAGTGAGAACAGGTGACACGCAGTGATGGGACATGGGTCAAAAAGCAAGGACCAGGGGAGTGATGGGTGGCTGGGTTGGGGAAGGAAGGGGAGAAGGGAAGAGACCACCAGCACACCCCCCATACGTACGCAAATTGAAAGAGTCAGTCTGGCTCTGCACACAAACGCGTGAAGGCAGGCTGGAGAACCCGAAGCTCTCTGGTAGGAGCAGGCGTCAGCCCAGGCGCGTCCAGCCCAAGTATGCGTCTGCAGTCTGCAGAACGACAACCTACCCAGAGACGCCCGGAGCCGGTGTGCAGCACGCCAATTTACGTAACCCCAATCTGGCACGAGCACTAGGCAGATTTCGCCATCTTTATTGTGGTCAAGGATTATCCTTGGGTTGCTGGGTTCCTTAGGTTTCCAGAATACAAGCTTTTTGGTTCTTTGCTAGTCTTATAAGCTCGAAACGAAGCAGGGGAGAATAAAACAAAAAGGGACAGCATCCCACTAGCTCTGCCACAGCTCTCTCACCCGCTGATCTGCCCTCACTCAAGATGGCCACCAGCAAAATGGTGCAATGGCGTGACAGCGCTGCCCTGGTTGCCAAGGAGACGCGAGTACCGGAAATGCAGAATTCGGGGAGGGAGCGCACGCCAGGGCAGTAAGGGAGAGGCTGGGCGTCACAGGTCCTGACAGGGAAGAAGTAGGCAGGTCCTGGTAGGGTAGAGCTGTGGCGGTGCTACCTCAAGTGTAGGTAGCTCCAGTGCGATGGAGTCGCAAATCGCAGACTCGCTGGCTGGTGAGACCGCGCGAGCCGCGGGCGGGGGTCCGGCAATGGGCAACGCCGCTGAGGGGCCCACAGTCTCGGCGCCCCTTGGAGCAGCCCGGTGGAAGCTCCTGCGGCAGGTAAGGGAAAGCCCGCTTGCCTCTGGCCACTCCCCTCGCAGGCACTAGCCGAGTAACCGGCCGCAGTTCTCTCTCCTTGGCAGCTCTGGGAGTTCCCTCTCAGTTTGCCGGGTGCCACCTGAGAAGCGCCCCCTGGCTTCACCGAAGTGTCCCACCAGAAAGGAAGAATCAGATTGGGTTGGGCGGGGAGGGGGAGAGCCATGACTGAGCTCCTGGGAAACTCGGATCTAAGTAGAAGAACCTTTTCTAGACATTTATCTACGTCTGGGGGACTTTCCTCCTTGCTCACCAGTCTGACTGATGCGACCACCGCTCCCTATTCTGTACCACTCTTCTGTTCCTGCTTCTGTTTTGCCTCCTTCCCCAGGTTTCTTCTCCTTGCTTCTTAACTCCTAGCCTGGTTGTGGTTACCGATCCCTAGTCTGCACTCTGGGGCCCTAAGTCTCTTGGAGATCAGCGTGGTTGACTGTGTTGAGACTCTGACACAGCACGCGTTCCCTCGGGTTCTTCCGTTTAGCAGAGAGTGAAGAGAGTAGGAAGAGTTCTCTCTCTCTCTCTCTGTTTTCCAACTATTGTGATCTTAATTGAAATTGTGCTTTTAGTATTTTGGGGGTCACGGTGTTTGCATTTGTCTCAAGTCGACTTTTCATAAGTAGTCTTTTAGTGCTGTGAAGACATAACTTACTAGAGTTATGAGTTAAAGTAGATCATTAGAATTAAGTAAGATCATTTCTTTGCTCATGCATTCGCAGTCTTTCCAGAGCATTAATGATCTGGTTTTGCTATTATTGTTACAAATGGTATTATAGGATAGCAAAATGCATACCCTTATAGATCATCATAGGACCTGTCTATGGTGAAGTAAACATATTACAATGGAATTATCAAAGTAGTAAATTAGGATCTTAAATTAATCAAATTTTCATATGTTTGTTGAGAAACACACTACTATTCTCCTTTGCTGTTCTATGACATGACTTCAATAATTGTTAGTATAGGAAAAACTCAAGGTAACCATTACCTGTGTTCATTCAAAATTGTGATATAAATCAGAACAATGACAAGTTTAAGGTTTTGGTATATGTGTGCCTGCTTAGAGTCTTATCTTCTTTACTCGGTGAATGTTCATCTTTCACACCTCCATTGCAATCTACTCTTTTGAGGAGCCACTCATAATGTGTGGGCTGAGTTAGACCCTCTGCCGCCCACTCTTCCAGTGAACCCCTCATCATATTGTTTTATGATCATCTGATCAGAGTTTCTCTTTCTCACTAGAATGGGTGTTCTCTCTGGGAAAAGATGTTGTTTTATTAATTTCCATCCTTTGGTACCTAGCATAGGGCCTGACTAGTTGGTTTTTAGTGGATATTGTTAAATGTTTGTGGAATACCTGAGAGTACAGACAGTCTTTAAGTGGCCTATAGCACCTAGTCCTTAGTGTATTGTATTAGCTATTGCTGAATAATGAACAACTACAACATCACAATGTCATACAACAGTATTTATTATTATTATTATTTTTTGGGGCGCATCTAGGGGCTACATGGGAGTCAACTGACCTAGGCTATGGTCACCTGGGTAGCTCTATGCTGCACATTTGGTACACATACTTCTAACACTTAGATTAGTTGGCTGGCATGTTCCCAAGGTGATGGCAGAGGTATAAGAGAGCAAGCCCAACCACAAAACACATTTAAACCCCTGCTTGTATCATGCCTTTTAAGATGCTGTTGGGCAAAGTAAGATACTTGGCCAAGCCCCAAGTCAAGGGGCAGGGAAGTATAAGTCTCCATGGAGGTGACAAGGAAGAAGTGAATATGTTTCTATAATAATCTAATATATCACATGTATTAAACATTTGTAGGCTCTTAGTAAATATATTTCAAATAAACAGACTATTCATAGCTTATATGCGTGTAGAACTGGAAAACTGAGGAATCAAAGCAGTGCTAGAGATGTGCTACTCCTTTTCATTCTCTTATTGGACATCTTTGACATCTGCTTCTGTCTCCTTGTTTTCTCACAATTCTGCCTTTCTGTTACCCTATAGGGGTCCAGTGCTGTCTCATGGCCCTTCACTTTATGTTAACTGTTGAATATTTTCTATGTTTTGTAATGTATATTTTGGAGAGAAAACCTCGTTGACCTAGTTCATCATTTGGTACCAGGCCACATGAGAAGTTGCCAACATTTGAGTCTAGTGTGTACTTAAATTAGAAGAGGTTTAGAACTCAATGAATCAATACCAATAGAGGCTATGACTGTACTATTTTGTTCTTTGTTGAGTCTCATTGCCTAATGGCAAAGATGGCCATTGACAACTCTTATCATCTTTCCAGTAATCTACAAGAAATATTCCTTTTCACCAACATATAGATCATTGCTTCCAAATGACTCTGATAGGCTAAGTTTGGACCAATTGCTGTGTCTAGAATGGGACACTTTGGCTAACCTGGGTTGTGAGCCCACCTGATGGCAGGGAAGTTAACAACTCAACCAGAATTACATAGAGTAAGGGAGGGGCATTTCCCAAAAGGAAGGCATGTAGGGCAGATGAAAAGTAGCAATGACCATTACACACTTACATATGTATTCACAAACACCTACAGAATGAAAAGTCTTATGTAGGAGTCTGAATACTTGGCTAAGGAATCTGATTAATGGAATATTTCATGGTACAACTTATATTAAAGCAGGATGCTTTTGCCTGGATTGGTTAATTGAAAAAGTTGGTCCAAGAGGTGAATCATAATAATGATCCATATTCTAAAATGAAGTTACAGTCTTACTGCCGAATCTTTCTATGTGTTTATAATTCTTAAAATTTTTCTAGTTGGCTTCCCATGCATAAATCGATAGTAAATTTTTGTTTGTTTGTTTGTTGTTTTTTTGAGACAGAGTCTCACTTTGTTGACTAGGCTAGAATGAGTGCCATGGCGTCAGCCTAGCTCACAGCAACCTCAAACTCCTGGGCTCAAGTGATACTACTGCCTCAGCCTCCCAAGTAGTGGGGACTACAGGCATGCACCACCATGCCCAGCTAATTTTTTCTATATACATTAGTTGGTCAATTAATTTCTTTCTATTTATAGTAGAGACGGGGTCTGGCTCTTGCTCAGGCTGGTTTCAAACTCCTGACCTTGAGCGATCTGCCCGCCTTGACCTCCCAGAATGCTAGGATTATAGGCATGAGCCACCGTGCCGGGCCTGGGATAGTAAATTTTTAAGCAACTTACCTTTATCTTTCCAAAACATTCAATTTAGTTTTTATGGAAGCAACAACTCTCTTTTAGCACCATTTCATTAGTTTTGTAATATTTAATGACAAATATTTAATTGTGAGAAATTTGTTACTTTGAAGAACAGCTGGTATAAAAGGTTTGTGGAGATGTACAGTTAACTTGGCAAGTATCCAAGTTAACATGACATTGGCTACATCTGGAGCTTGATCCAATTCTAGGTCTACCACTTATCGTGCGGCTCTTTATTGATCTCCTGTGTCAAGTATTAAATCTTTATGGAATGTGTTTTTGTTTTATCTTTATTCTTGACTTTGTTTTTTATCCCTACCTTTGCTTTCCCTTTTTCTTTTTCATCTACTTTTAATGAATGTTATCTTGTTATATTGTGCATCTTTTTAAGCCACCTTAAATTCTTTTGGTAGCAGATGTGACATACTAAGTCTTCTTTAAGCCATGGGAATTTGGACGACGTTTTACTTTTTAAGCTTCAGTTTCCTCTTCATTTAAATTATTTTTGTTGTTGTTAGAGATGGTCTTGCTCTGTCACCCAGACTGGAGTGCAGTGGTACGATCATAGCTCACTGTAATCTCAAACTCCTGGGCTCAAGTGATGCCTTAGCCTCCTGAGTAGCTAGAACCACAGGTGCATGCCACCATGCCTTCCTAATTTTTCAATTTTTTTGTAGAGTCAGAGTCTTGCTATCTTTCCCAGGCTGGTCTCCATGTCCTGGCCTTAAGCAATCTTCTGTTTATAGCTAAGCAGCCTGAATATTAACCCTGGGGTTACCTCTTACTAGCTGTCTGTCTTTGAGCAAAATTACTTAACTGCCCTGTATTCCAGTTGCCTCTTTCACATAATGGGTATCTATCCCAGAGGGTTGAGGATTTAATGAAGAACGTGGTAAGATTTACATTAATTCTTACTTAGACATTTGGTATAATTTTCTGGTGAGCAATCTGGGCCTGGTGTTTTCTTTGTGGTTATTTTTTTATTTGTGAACTCAATTTTTAAAATAGGTTGGTACTATTCAGATTTTTCATTTTTTCATGTGTCAATTTTGATAGTTACATTTTTCTAGGAATTTGTCCATTTTACCTAAATTTTCATAGTTTTCCTAATATCCTTTTTTTTTTTTTTTTTTTTGAGACAGAGTCTCGCTTTGTTGCCCAGGCTAGAACGAGTGCCATGGCATCAGCCTAGCTCACAGCAACCTCAAACTCCTGGGCTCAAGCGATCCTTCTGCCTCAGCCTCCCAAGTGGCTGGGACTACAGGCATGCGCCACCATGCCCGGCTAATTTTTTCTATATATATTATTTGGCCAATTAATTTCTTTCTATTTATAGTAGAGACGGGGTCTCACTCTTGCTCAGGCTGGTTTCGAACTCCTGACCTCGAGCAATCCGCCCGCCTCGGCCTCCCAGAGAGCTAGGATTACAGGCGTGAGCCACCGCGCCCGGCCTAATATCCTTTTACTATTATGTTTTAGTGCTTATAGGATTGATAGTTATATTCCTATATCACATTGATAGTTAAACACTTCCTTTTTTTCTTCCTGGTCTTATCAAGGATTTATCAGTTTTATCCATCTTTTCAAAGAAACAACTTTTAGTATTGATCCTCTCTCCTGTATGTTTATTTTCTATTTCATTAACTTCTCTTTTGGGGACCTAATTGGCTTCTTTTTCTAATTTTTGGATTGAATGCTTAGCTTATCAGCTTTTGGCCTTCCTGTAAATTTCCCTCTAAGCTTGGATTTAACTGTATTTTGTATATTTTGAAATGTATTTTTATTATCATTCAGTTCAAAATACCTTATTATTTTCATTGTGTGTTCTTTTTTTGGTACATAGGTTATTTAGAAGTATATTGCTTAATTTCCAAATATATTTGGCTTTTCAGATATCTATTTTTTGTTTTTTTATGAGGAAGAAGGTATTTTGTATCTTTAAAATTTTTCTATCAGGGAACATGTCAAACATATACAAAACTGGAGATAATGGTATAATAGTGTAATAATCACTCAATTATCCATAAGCTTCAGCAGTTTTTAATTCATGACCAACTTTGTTTCCTCTCTCTTCTCCCATTATCCTCCCCTTTTGTTATTTTGAAGCAAATCTAAGATACAATTTTTTCCTGGAAATATTTCACTATGAACTTATAAAAGATGACATTAAAAAACATGACAATACCATATCACACCAAGAATAATTCACTGATGTCATAAAATATCTGGTCAGTTTTGAAATTATCCCCATTATCTCATAATTTTTAAAAATAATTTGATTATTTTGAGACAAGATCCAGATAAGATCCAAACATTGTTATTGGTTGATATGTCTCATAAGTCCTTTTAATCTATATGTTCCATCTGCCTGTCTCTTTTTTACTCCTTGCCATCTATTGTAGACAATGGGGTATTTTTGGTCTTAGAGTGTTTCCCATAATTTAAATTTTGCTAATTGTACCTTTATGGTATTGTTTAATGTGTTCTTTATCCCTTGTATTTCCTATTTCCTATTAGTTGATAGATACAGAGCCTTGATCAGATTCAGATTTGATGTTTTTCATCCTGTTTAATTAGTCAGTATAGTGGTGGTGTCAACATTTATCAATAATCACGGTGATGTCTGGTTATTGCTCTTCTTGATGATGATTGCCTAGATTCATGAATTCATGAAGGGGTTGAAAATGGAGGTATTCTAATTCTGTCATTCTTCATTTATTAGTTGAGATATTACTGTAAAGAGAAACTTCCCCTTCTATTTCAATACTCTCAGTTACAATTCATGTAGGGAAGAGATAAATACTTGATTCTTTCTCCTTATTTACTAGTTTTGAAAATAATAAGTTGGTTCTTTAGCATTCTTGATCATCAGTGATGGTCATCAATGAGACATTTAAAAAATACTATCATAAACTAAAAATATGTTTTAATTCTATTGCATTTATTATCTTTATTAATATGCACACTGTCTTATTATCTTGGTCTGTTTTGTATTGCTATAATACAACAGCTGGGGCGGGGGAATTTATAAAGAAAAGAGGCTTATTTTGCTCATAATTCTGCTGAAAGTCCAAGACCATGGCAATGGCATCTGCTCTTCTGGTGGAGTCTTTCATACTGTCATACATAACATGACATAAGGTCAGAGGGAAAGCAGATATGTGCAAAGGGGCAAAACACAAAGGGTATTCTTGATTTATAACAACTTGCTCTTGTGACAACCTGTCTCATGAGCTCAAGAACTCACTACTACAAGAACTGTACAAAGCTGCCTATGAAGGAAGCGCCCTGTGACACAAATGCCTCCCACCTCTTAGGCTCCACCTCTTAAAGTTTCCACCTCCCCACATTTCCGCACTGGGAATTAAGGTTCCAACGTGAGTTTTGGCGGGGACACTCAAACCGTAGCACCCATCTTGGGCCAATGGACCCTATTCAAATTGGCTCCTAAGTTCTTTTGACCTAACCTATCATTTTTTATAGCTATCTTGTTTTCTTGTGTACAGGGTAGGGTGTTCCAGGCCCATCTTGTACAATATAATTCCTGCCATTTCTCCAAGGGACCTTACTTTATTTTAATAAAAAATAGTATTTAGAAGGCTGGGCGTGGTGACTCACACCTGTAATCCTAGCACTCTGGAGGCGGAGGCGGGCGGATTGCTTGAGGTCAGGAGTTCGAAACCACCCTGATTGAGACCCTGTCTCTACTAAAAATAGAAAGAAATTAATTGACCAACTAAAAATATATATACAAAAAATTAGCCGGGCATGGTGGCGCATGCCTGTAGTCCCAGCCACTTGGGAGGCTGAGGCAGAAGGATCGCTTGAGCCCAGGAGTTTGAGGTTGCTGTGAGCTAGGCTGATGCCATGGCACTCACTCTAGCCTGGGCAACAAAGTGAGACTCTGTCTCAAAAAAAAAAAAAAGAAAATAGTATTTAGAGACAACAATGTGAGTATACTAAGTGTACTCATTGCTACTAATTTGGTCATTGTTTCTAGACCTTTTCAGTGGTCAGATGTAGGAAATATATATGTAGTTTTTTTTTTCTTTTTTTTTTTTTTACCAGAAATGTCTGTTGTATATATATGTAGTTTTAAGAGTGAAATATATGTAGTATGAAAATATAGTATAGTTTTAGTTTATATTATACTTGCTTTCAGATTCAGAGCTACAGAGTTTTTGCTTAACCTTATCAATCTTATAGTTGTATCTCTTTCTCCCACACTTAAAAACCTGGTTTTCAGTGACACTAACAAAATTAGTCATTTGATTTATCCTAACATACACATACACACACACACACACACACACACACACACACTCACACTCTCCACCCCACCCCTACAGGCTCAGAATAATATACGTGCGCCTGCATAGGTAGAATTGACAAATGTCTCAGGAGAAAAGTGGTTGCAAAGTCAGTCACCTCTTTAGGTTTATTTTTCTTTAAAGATATCAGACTGGTAAATTTTCACTATCTTTGCCCTCTGATGTTCTTAAGTAATGTTTGTAAATGTTTTGTCCATATTTTCTCTTTAGTTGTCTTCAATAGGAGCTGTATCTGAATTATCTAAATTGCCATTATTGAAAGTGCAATTCCCTTACCACTTAAATTTTGAACACTTAGGATATGTTTATATGATATGACTACGTCTTTGGTTTTATTTCAAAGGTTCTGAAGCAAAAACACGTGGATGATTGTCTGCGACATGTATCTGTAAGAAGATTTGAATCATTTAATCTGTTTTCAGTAACAGAAACCCAAAAAAGGGAAACTGAAGAGGAGGTTGGTGCATGGGTCCAATATACAAGTGTCTTCCATCCTGAATACAGTATCTCCTTAAGGTAATCATTATTCTAGTTCAGATTTTTTAAAACCAATTTTCTCTTGTAGAAGGAAAACAATTTAATAAGAATCTCATTATTTATTCTATTGAGTTTGCAGGCAATCTTTATAAGAACTTAGTTTTTGCAGCTTTGTGTTAGGAAATTTTGCTGTTTTAACTGGATCTTGCTGCATTGTCAGACTAAAGAAAAAGTGCTTCAGGAATATAGTGGCACTTGAGGATAAGGTGAGTTGCAAATCAAAGGGTTCATTTAATCATTCTTTAATAGCATTTGATTATCACAAAAAGCCAAGTTCTTTTTGAGGCAAACAAAGCTGAAAACGAACACAGAATTTTTCCAAACTACTCTTCAGGTAGTAGTTAAATGAAAAATCAAGCTTTGGTATTTTTCCCATTTATGTCTTGTCACTTTCAGAATAGATCTTAAGACTTGGAGGAGAAAATGCAGCTGAAAACACTGATATTATAAGAAGCATGAAGTCTGTTCTGGCTTTAAAAATCATTAGAAAAGAGACATGAGAGTTACAAACTGAAGTAACAAGATACCACTTTTACTGAATTAATTTTCCCTCACAGTTATATTTGAGCATGTTGCAATATTACTGTAGGTGTTTGATTTTATAAAATCTGCCTTTTTTGACAGGATTTCACATTTTGAAAGGGAGGGAGGAGCACATTTACAGTAACTGTAAGAAGAGCAAAAAACATTTTAAGTGGAAATGTGACTGAATAAGGTTTAGGTGAAGTTAGGAGTAATTTTAAGGAAAAAATTTTCACAAAGTATGTCTATTTATAGTATATGCTTCTTGAACTATTTTCGTTTAAAATATCTAAGCTTTAAAAGACACTATAATAGCTAAAAATTTGGGATTTATATAAAAATTGACTAGGGCGGTTAGGGAAGAACAATTAGGATCTGGTTTTATAATATTATTATCTTATTGAAAATGCCGAATAAAATAGACAAACTTAAGGATTTTTGAGTGCCTGTACATTCATTATGAGATTGTGATACCCCAATCACCTTGCCTTCTGGTGGAGATAATCAGTTTAGTCCTTGGTTAGGAAGAAAAATTCATTAAATGCTTACTGTGTACCAGGTACAGAGCTAGGTTCTTTGATGTATTCACTTTCATGTAATCCTTACAATCACTTTGTGAAGTAGAAAGGAGAATGATTAAACAGTTGGAAGATAGTATGTGTAAGGAAATTGAAGAGAAGGAAAAATAGAGTGATTCAGTAGGGCTCTTTAGGTATAAAGTTCTAAAATTTCTATATCCACTGGTGACAAGAGACAATATGTATAAATTGTAGCAGGAATAATTTTCTGAAATGTTCAAGGCCTGGTAAGGTTTAGCCAGGAGAATGTAAAATATTCTGTTCTTATGATCTTTCAAAATAAGTCATGGGTATCTATCTACCCACGGATGATCTTCATGTGATATTCTCTAGAGCCCAGGCTATAGAGTAAACTGGGACTCCTCTCTGACAGTTTGATTCTTTGTGATATATTCCTTTTTGAAAGAATAAATACAGGTATGTCTATATAAGTATGACATTGAAAACTAAGTTGTAGAGAGAAAACAAGTGACTGAGCTACAATTTTGGCCTCAATGACTGCCAGAGTTTTTTTTCTTTTTGTAAACTAGTTAGTATCTCTCCACATTAGTAGTGCAAAAATAGCAATAGCTTAAATGTACAGAATTCTTTTTTTTTTTTTTTTTTTTTTTTGAGACTGAGTCTCACTCTGTTGTCTGGGCTAGAGTGCCGTGGCATCAGCCTAGCTCACAGCAACCTCAAACTCCTGGGCTCAAGCAATCCTTCTGCCTCAGCCTCCTGAGTAGCTGGGACTATAGGCATATGCCACCATGCCTGACTAATTTTTTTTTTTTTCTATATATTTTTAGTTGGCCAATTAATTTCTTTCTATTTTTAGTAGAGATGAGATCCTACTCTTGCTCGGGCTGGTTTCAAACTCCTGACCTTGAGTGACCCTCCTGCCTTGGCCTCCCAGAATGGTAGGATTATAGGCGTGAACCACCACGCCCGGCTCACATGTACAGAATTCTTGAGCTGAAAGTGATCTTAGAATAAATGCAAAAAGCAATTATGATAACATTGATAATGGCAGACAACTGAGTACCATTACGCCTACTACGTGACAAGCACTGTTTTGTGTGTTTTCTATATATTAGCTTATTTAATCCACACAACAGCCTTATGAGGTAAATACAGTTTTTATCCTCACGAGGAAAGTGAAGAACAGAGAGGTTAAATAACTTGCAGCCAGTTTGTGATTGTGCCTGTATTCAAACTCAGGTAGTCTGGTTGGTTACACAGCCCATACTTGTAGAAAAACATTTTTTTTCTTTAAGTGATAGGGTCTTTCTGTGTTGCCTAGGCTAGCCTTGAATTCCTTGGCCCAAGCAATCTTCCCACCTCATTTTGAAGTATTAAAATGAGTCTACTTATAGACTCACAGGTAGCTGCAAAAGTAGTGCAGTGAGTTTCATGTACCAGCTGTTGCCATTGGTAACATCTTGTATAATGATAGTCACAGCCTGCACTTTTAACTTCTACACCATCCTGCTTCTCATGAGGCAGTCATGTATCCATTCATTCATTTCACAGATGAAGGAATTGAGGCCTAGATAAGCTAATTTCCTCATCGATTATTCTGAGCATTCTGTTTCTTCCTCCATAATCCTGTTATGATAAAGGAAATTGCAGTAATTACTGAAACTGTTTAGGTATAGGAGATTTCTGCCAAGAATAGTTCATTCTTTTCCATTGCCAATTTTGTTCACATGGATTTCTTACATGTTTACCACTTTTGCTTGTATTCTGTTATCTGCCCAATGTGGTTCTCCATTCTTGCTCCTTTAATATCTCATATCAACTCTTTTCTCAACATGTTTTCATGACATTTCTTTAGCTAGCTTTATCTATTTTCTTCAGTATTACTTGAGTTGTGAGCATTCTAAAGTTTTTTTAAAAAAATATTACTTGGCAATAACCAAAAGTAGTGGTTTAGAAAATAGTTTTGAAATGGAGTACTGTCATCTTTCTTTATATTTTTAGGTTTGTTAAATCAACACTGTGGATGATTTTTAAAAAAGTGATGAATAGTTTTAAACAAATTCAAACCAATAAATATTTAATAGCACCTTCTGCATAGATAAACAGAATGAAATAAAAGTACATAATACTATTCTCAAGAAGCTCAAATAATAAAAATAATTAAGTAAGGAAAGTTTACCATCCAATCTAAGAACTTTCATCAGGCAGTGCATAACTAATGGGTAGAAGACTTCACACTTAATAGAAGTTTAGAGATAGGAGTGATTTTTTAAAAAAATTAGGAAGTATTTGAAAGTTCTGGGAGAAAGGAAGAAATCTTTTCCAATGAAGGCAAAGGCACAGAAAATATTCTGGTGAGAAATGCAAGGCAGAATCATCATCAGAGACTACTGAGAAGGCCATCATGGCCTTTAGGGGGAGGAATAATTATCAATACATATTATATGGTAGATCCACTGCATGTTCTAATAAAGGGCTAAACATTTGGGATATTGTAGGTTCCTCATAGATCATAAATGTAAATTCCACTTTCACTTTCTCGGTTCTTATCACCTGCATTCACCTGTCACAACTCAATAGACATGACACATACAGGGTAATCAGTACTCATTATCAATATTCGTTATTAGTTTTATCTATCCTAAGCTTCCCCTACACATTGATTTCTGTCTCTTTAAAGTCTTATTAGAGTTGAAATGAATACCCTAGGAGGATAAATACTTACATATTTGTGAATTCAAAGTACCTAGAGTTGTATCTTATTTGTATTATTAAAAGTTATAGAAGTAGTGATTGAAATTAAAACTTTTACCCTTATTTTCTATCAGCCTTATACGATGAGACTTAAAATGAAGGAATAAAGAATTTCCCTTAGTGACTTTCATCTGAAGCAAAAGTCTCAACAATGTAAAAGTTAGGTTATGAAATTCTCAGGATCTGTTATCTTTTCTGTATTCCTGAGAATGGTTGACTCTTTGTTTCAAAGTAAGTTTTGAGAGTTAGGAAATTAAAATCCAGAGTATGACTCCTAATTTATTCCTTGACAAAGTCTTCTTGTCTTTCTGAAGTTTATAGAAGAGAATCTTGCTATTAGATAGATGCAAATATAGAAAACTAAGGCAGGCTATATGAGGTGGCTCATGCTGTGATTCCAACACTTTAGGAGGCTGAGGTGAGAGGTTGCAGTGAGCTATGATCATGCTACTACACTCCAGGCTGGGTGATAGAGCAAGACCCTGCTTCAAAAAAAAAAAAAAGAAAGAGAAAAATAAGATTACCAGGGGATGTTTATATTAAAATTCTTTCATTAAAAATTCCTTTTTCCCTGTCTTACAGAATGCAATTTGTTATTGTATAGAGCTTGCTGTGTAGATGCTAGAAATTATGCCCCCCATATTTAAATTTAATTTCAGCACAGCAGGAATTTGCATATTCTGGAAGCTTTAAAATACTTCTATTATATTTAAAGCCATAGAAGTGCCTGAGTTATTCATTTGTAAGTGTATACATGTCTTAGGTATAGAAAAAGCTGAGAGACATGAACTGTCCTCCTTTCTTTGACTATGACTACTGTTGCTATGGTAATTGCTGAATTAGAAGGCTAGAACTCTTGACTTTTGGCTAGTCCTGGGAGCTTAGAATGGTCAAGAATGACTTTTTCTTTGACTGTGGTACATCTTTCTAGTACAACAGATACGGTATAGCAAGATCATATATTGTTTCTCTAAGGAAAGGAAGAGACAAACCAGACCCTCACACCACTGATTTTAGTGTGTAGCTTATCAGTGTCAGTAAGTAAAAACTAGTAATGGGAATGATTGACTTATGAAACTATTATTAGGTTATTAAGCTATTAAGGTTATTAAGGTTTATTAGTAGAATAGATCTATGATAGATTGTCCTTATATGAGATGATAT